AGGTCTGTGAAATATGCCCTTAGTATTTTAATGGGGAGTGCATTGAATCTATAGATTGCTTTGGGTAGTATGGACATTTTAATGATGTTGAGTCTACCAATTCACGAACAGGGTATATATTCTTTCATTCGTTTATGTCTTCCTTGATCTCTTTTTTCTATGTCCTGTAGTTTTCCGAGTACAGGTCTTTGACTTCCTTAGTTAAGTTTGTTCCTATGTATCTTAATTTTTTTTTTGGTGCAATGGTAAATGGCATTAATTTTTTTAGTGTCTCTTTCTGTGAGGTCGCTATTGGTGTATAAAAATGCCATAGATTTCTTAGCATTAATTTTGTATCCTGCTACCTTGCCAAATTCATTTATTAAGTTTTATAATTTTTTGATGACGTCTTTAGGGTATTCTATGTACAGTATCATGTCATCTGCGAATAAGGACAGTTTTACGTCTTCTTTTCCAATTTGGACACCTTTTATTTTTTCTTCTTATCTAATTGCTATGGCTAACACTTCCAGTACTATGTAAAACAGGAGTGGTGAAAGTGGGCATCCCTGTCTCGTTCCTGTTCTTAGGTGAAACGATTTTAGTTTTTGCCCCTTGAGTATGATGTTGGCTGTAGGTTTGTCATATAAGGCTTTTATTATGTTGAGGTATGATCCTTCTATTCCCACCTTGTTGAGTGTTTTTATGAAAAATGGGTGTTGGATTTTGTCAAATGCTTTTTCTGCATCAATTGATATGACTATGTGGTTTTTTTCTCTCAATTTGTTTATGTGATGTATCACGTTTATTGATTTGTGGATATTGTACCATCCTTGCATCCCTGGGATAAATCCTACTTGGTCATGGTGTATGATCTTTCTGATGTACTGCTGGATCTGATTTGCTAGGATTTTGTTGAGGATTTTGGTATCTATGTTCATGAGGGGTATTGGCCTGTAATTCTCTTTCACTGTGTTGTCTTTATCTGGTTTTGGTATTAGGGTGATGCTCATAGAATGAGCTTGGAGTGTTCCTTCCTCTTGAATTTTTTGTAGTAGTCTGAGGAGGATAGGTTTTAGTCCTTCCTTGAATGTTTGGTAAAACTCCCCTGTGAAGCTGCCTGGCCCTGGGCTTTTGTTTGCTGGGCGCTTTTTGATGACTGCTTCAATTTCCTCCATAGTTATTGGCCTGTTGAGATTTTTAGAATCTTCCTGATTGAGTTTTGGAAGGTTGTATTTTTCTAGGAATATGTCTATTTCCTCTAGGTTGTCTAGTTTGTTGGAATAGAGTTGTTCATAGTATTTTTTAACAATCCTTTGTATTTCTGTGGGATTGGTTGTTATTTTGCCTCTTTCATTTCTGATTTTGTTTATTTGGGTCCTCTCTCTTTGCTTCTTGGTGAGCCTGGCTAGAGGTTCATCAATCCTGTTTATCCTTTCAAAGAACCAGCTCTTTGTTTCATTGATCTTTTGTAATTTTTTTTGTCTCTATGTCATTTATTTCTGTTCTGATCTTTATTATCTCCTTCCTTCTGATCACTCTGTGCTTTTCTTATTGCTCTCTTTCTAATTCTTTAAGTTGTAGAGTTAGATGATTTAGTACAATTTTTTCTTGTTTTTTTAGGTAGGCCTGAAAAGCTATAAACTCCCCTCTCAGGACTGCTTTCACTGTGTCCCATAGATTTTGGATTATTGTGTTTTCATTGTCATTTCCAGGGTGTTTTTAATTTCTTCTTGGATCTCTTTGGTAACTCAATCATTGTTTAATAGCATGCTTTTCAGCTTCCAAGAGTTTCAATTATTTTGATTGTTTCTATTGTAGTTTATTTCTAATATTAAGCCATTGTGGTCTGAGACGATGCTTGATATGATTTCAATCTTCTTGAATTTGGAGAGACTTTGCCTGTGACCCAATATGTGGCCTGTCTTTGAAAATGTCCCTTGTGCACTTGAAAAGAACGTGTGTTCTGTGGCTTTGGGGTGAAATGTTCTGAAGATGTCAATTAAGTCCATCTGATCTAATGAGTCATTTAGGATTGCTATTTCTTTGCTGATTTTTTGTCTAGAGGATTTATCCAGTGATGTCAGTGGGGTATTAAAGTCCCCTACTATGATTGTACTGTTGTCGATCTCTCCCTTGATATCTTCCAGGAGTTTTTTTTATGTATTTAGGTGTTCCTGCATTGGGTGCATATATGTTTACAAGGGTTATATCCTCTTGTATTGATCCCTTTAGTATTATGAAGTGGCCTTCCTTATCTCTTTCTATAGCCTTCACTTTGAGGTCTATTTTGTCAGATATAAGTATTGCTACCCCAGCTCTTTTTTTCCATTTGCCTGAGAGATGTTTTTTCCATCCCTTCTCTTTCAGCCTGTGTGAGTCCCTTATTCTGAATAGGTCTCTTGTAGACAGCGTATATATGGGTCATGTGTTGTTGTTTTTTCCATTCAGCCACTCGATGTCTTTTGATTGGAGCATTTAGTCCATTTATGTTTAAAGTTATTATTGGTAGGTACTTGT